CTGAGTTACGCAAGCCCCTTCGCCACGACAAGGCAGTGATCCATGAAGGGGAAGGTGAAGCTAGTAGATGATTAAGCATACAGAGATTGCGGCCAGCAGGTATGAACCTAATTCTGTGTACAAGAATGAATGAAAAGGACTTTATAAATCCCACCCATCCCCTTCCCCAGCTAATGATAGGAATAAAAGGTTAGAGAATAGAGCAGCTGAACTTAAACATACAAACCTTTCCCAGCCTAAGTTCTCTAGATACCTCAAATTATGACTCCCAGAAAGTGGAGTTACAGTCCAACCCATCTGGAGGATATCAGGCCTCCCTAAACCTACCAGCTGGAAATCAATGACTATAGTACAGGAAGAGGTCTAGCACTGGGTTTTCAACCCTTCCAGTATCTCTACTGCAACCAACCAAGGTCTCTCCTTTCTCAAGTCTCAGCCATAAAGAAAGCTATCAGATGTTATTTGCCTTATGGTAAACTCTTCCTGGGTCTTCAAATCCAAACAACCACCCGTTCATCTCTCTCAGCTATGCTCAGCCCAGAGAATAGCTATTTTCTCCCCAAACAGCCAACCAAGAGCTTTTCCCGGATATTCCATTTTCTAGGATATGAGATAGGTTGCTGAAAACCATCATTTTCTAGCTCTAAAATTATCTTTAGGTTAAATTTTCTAGTAAATCTAATTTTCTGTTAAGGCCAACACAAATTAAATTTGCTAAGGAGATGAGACGTACAGGATGAAGGTTTCATCCCACACTGGATGTAAGGTCTGACGGATGACTTGCGTGCGATGGGTCTGGTCCTCTGGGATCAGGTTCTTCACCACAGCCTTGGATCGTTTTTTGTTCTCATGATGAGAAGCACCATGGGCTGAAGAGTCTTGTTTTTTGGTTTCTATCCCTAGGAAGCAGTATGGATCACTTAATCCTGCAAGCAAAGAAGGAGCTTTAAAATGTGCAGCATTCATGTTATGTGTTAAGGTTTCACAATAACTAGCAGAATTATTGCAGAAGGTCCTCTATACTTTTCTTTCCCCACTCCATCAGTAATCTTGATATTGTACATGACTGTTCTTTTCCACTACCCATGAAAAACCAAGAAAAAAATAATAATGTTGCATGATTTTGCTTCATTCGTTTTGCATCATCAACTGATTTTACATCATGCAGGGAACTTATTTTATATGATGCAATCATCATCTGCTTCCACTTTCTTTCTTCTTACCCTCAGCCTCCTCTAAATATTTAAGGCATCAAAAGATTTTTTTTCTTTTTGGTCTGCGCTCAGTCATTGCTGACCCTGCAGTGACTGCTTGGAC